AAAAATAAAACATGTGGCAGCAGATCTATTGTTAACAAATTAAAACAAATAAAACACAAAAGTTTCTTAAACACAGACGCAGAAGTGATTCATTTGTCAAATGACCGCCGTTCGTTGATTGTCAAAAACAAAAAAGAAGCGATAAAACATAGGCCAAAGGAGACGATATGACAACTCAATAATTAGAGCAAATAGAAATTTATAACAAGGCAAAACGTTTCCTGGTTTCATTAAAATAATAAAGAAAATAATTAATCATTAATCCTTGGGTATCCATTGCTCAAATACCGGTATAAATCTCTGTTGTTATGTTGTTTTTGTATAAGTTTTTCAGCAGTAAAAACCTAAACCGATGTCATAATTATAAGAAGTAATTGAAAAGAAACATAAGTCGTTCAAAGAAAGATCGAAGCAATATCAACATGATTTGAAAAGTTGAAATTATTCTTAAGTTTTAAGTATACAGTAACTTTTAGCAATAATGTCGCTTCACTGAAGTCAATTTCGAATGGGGACCTATTACATTATCGTAAGACAACGATGTTTAAAGAATCCATTAACATAATTTGGAATTATTTTTCTATTACATGACGTCCAGATCAGTGGCTCAGAAAATAACATGTTACGGAGTTTTTAGTATACTTTGGTTTTATACTATATTTATACTAGCAGCTAGCTTTTGTAAAAGTAAGGAGTAGAATTATAATAAAGCATATTGCCTTGTAAGACATTTCCATTCTCGGTTCCATTCATATAAATTAAAACATTTCTATGTATTGGGTCCAACCTAAACTGTTAAAACTAAAACGTATGAAAGCTATTACTAAATATCTCATTTCAAAAGGTTAAAAACAACACACGTTTGCTAACAACTAATACAATGTTATAAGTAAATTAGATACACTTGGACACTCGAACAGTGTTAAAATTTAATGGCTATGTTCCACTTGACATCCGTAGCGGGGTCCTTAAGTGGTAACTATATAAAATATATTACATACAAGGTATGCGCGCCCGCACGGGGGTAAGAACGGAACGGGTATATAAGTGCAGACATTTACTTAATCCGTATCACTTGCCGTGGATCTAATACCTAAAGCAAAATGGCAGCTAAGGTATGACAGCAAAATGTTTGTGAAAATACAAGATTGGAATATACTAGAATATAGAATTTTACGTGTTATTTTTTTAGTTATATGTTGTTATATTTACTTTAACTTAATATTGATAAAATTGTAAAGTAATTTAGATTATTATTTTTTCAACAAATTGTAACAAGTTGTAACGAGTGAATATTTATGGCAGTTATAAATATCACATGAACTATTACTCAACGACTGTCAAACTTATTATTTACATTTAAAGTCAGAACGGATGTTACATTCAATAAATTACAAACAAGAGTATGAAAAATAGATAAATCAAAGTTTAATGTTCATGTGTTTTATTTTTCAGTTCATCGTTCTGTTGTGCGCGGTCGCCGCGGTGAGGGCGGGTAACTTATACGGAGGATCGTATGCGGCGCCCCTAGCATCATACGCTTCATATG